CCCTATAACAATATTTCATATATTGATTTATATTCTGTATAAATTGTATTCTTGATATTTAAATAATCTATTAACTCCAAGCAATGGCTTTGACAGCTGCCGTATGATGAGGAAATTTATGAAGAGGTACATCACTTGCTCTGTCCCATATCAAGAGCTTATTGTCATTCCCACCACTAGCAAGTTGATTTCCCTCTGGATTCCATTTGAGTCCACAAACCTAAAAATATATCAATAAATTTGTATCAAATTAATTTGAAAAAAAAAACGCGTTTTTGACTGTTATAATTGAAAAAGGAAATTAAACATGCACATTAATGAAGTCAATTAAATATTAATGTTACCTCTTGTCTATGCCCAGATAATTTTGCCGTATAGTCATTTTGGGATCTGATATCCCTATGATAAATCATCCTATCTCGCCCTCCAGAACTAACAATATAAGAATTCCAAGATAAGGCACCTTGAAATTATAAAAATAATGAATATTCGATTAATGTAATAAGTAAATAAATGATCAATTAAAATTGTAGATACTTACCTACTCGTTGAACATGTCCTTTCATCTTTCTGATTTTTCTACTTTGATGAACATCCCAGATTTCAACAGGACCTAGAGCTGTCCCAACGGCTATGTGAGAACCCTGTGAATTAACAAAATTGAACGAACCAATCGCGTAAAAATTTTACCAATTAGCATAAATCATAAATAACAACATACCGTCGGCATCCAACTAACTGATGTAACATTCTCTGTGTTGCTATTACCATGCCTTCCTGAGCTTGCCATATCGCAAAGCTTCACAACCTATATAAACAAAAAAATAACTTTATAAATATTAAAATAATATGTAAGTATATGCAAAAATGATTATATTTTTTTATATATCGTACCCTTGAAGTAACTGCATTCCAAAGATAAACACATGTACCTAATCCAACACCTAAAATATTTGTGGAAGACCAATCCACCAAATTTAAGTAAAAGTCATCCTATTTATAAGGAAAGAGAGATAAGACACTAAGAAAGTTAAAATAGATAATATATTATGCGAGACTTGCCTGAAGATCAGGTGCATCAAGCACCTTGTATGGAGTTCTACTAATATATCTGGGCGGCTTACGAGGGCTAGTTAAAATTAACTGCGCTTCCAGCGGAAGCGGACTTGAATTATAATCTCTCTTGACCGGCGAATCGAAAAAATAGTTTCGTTCTTTCGTCGGTGTACTAAAAGACAACAATCTCTTGGATGACTTTGTGGGAGTTGAATTCAAACGATGAATAATATCATCGGTTGTTTCTCTTAATGGTAACATTGCTTGTCCCACAACTGCTCTGTAGAGTCGATTTTCCTCCTCTAATAATAATAATAAAACAATAATAAATAATCATAATAATAAAAATAATCCGAATAATGAATGAATTATTACCTTGTTGTGCTTCCTCTTCGATGACCGATAACTTCCTCTTTTTGGAACTTTCTTCGGTTACAATCCGCATTTGCAGATCTTGGACCGGATTAAGAGATCTTTGTGGTAAAAGACTAAAGTTTGATTGGTTTTGAGTTAATACATACGTGCTTTATAGATGTGTGCATAAACTTAAAGTAAAATAAACCAACCGATCAAAATCAGGAGTACGAATTTTATGCGGAGGGGTAGACATTATATCACTCCTGAAAGAATAAGAACCACTGTTTTGGGCCCTAAGGTCACCTTCACCTTGATAAACGGAATCGGGAGTTTGGCCAGTATTATAAGACATTTCAAATAAAAAGGTAAAAAGTGACGTTTATTTTCGTAACTACGAGCTAAGTTTGAAGAGTAAAAATCAATATTGCGAAAATACTATGGTAGAAAGTGAGATCAAGGAATTGAACATTTTGGCATGGGTTCAGTGAACTGAAAGCAATAAACACATGTACCATTTACAAACTCGCACAGGTCACAAAATGTACTAACCATATAAAAACTTGCACGACTACAGTTCTATAGTTGCAGGAAGAAAGCAACTAGTTATATTAAGAGAAAAGAATTTTAAAACGAGAATATTGTTTATTATCTGACAGATCGTAGTATTTTATATACATCAGCAGTGGCTTAGATCAAATTATAATGGATATATGATGTATAAATGCATTTAAATTCAGTCATGTGACCGATAAGATCGTACATAGAACCTAAGTTTATAAGTTTTTAATAGGTTTCAATAAAAGCAAAATAAATGTGTTTGGCATGAATCAAGTAATATATTTTTATTTTTATGTCTTACAAAATACTGAGAACCAGGTTTTAAATTTAACATAGGTTTGAAACTTATTATATACGTAGAGCCTTGGTTCTTAGGTTTTTAATTTGGAACCTAAAGTTTTAGAACCTAAACTAACTTTATCACCTCAAGTACATGAAAGCAGAATATATTAATTAGAGGCTTAATCAGTTGGCGTGTTTTGTTTGTTGTCGTCACCCTGGTTTTTATAAAGTTTATCTTGACGTCGAGTTTCGGCTTGAGAAAGCTTTTCTTGTAATTTGGCCAAACTCTCGCTGTTTTTCGCGTCAGAAAGACGGCGTTGTTCTTCAGCAACCTTCTTTGCGTGAGCAACTTCATTTGCAGCCTTCTGGGCCTTTTCAGCGTCTAACTGTTTCTTTCTTTCTTCCGCAGCTGTAAGTTTTGCGTTGATATCTTCTCCCGAAATTTCTTTCTCATCCGTAAACCTTTCCAAAATGTGTTTAGGTACGGGTGCATCAGGATTTTCTTTAATATCAACTTCGAAAGCGACGGAAGAAGGGGTCTCTTCGTTAGTGCTCATTATGATAGATAGCAAGTGGATATTGGAAGGTAATATTTAATATTTGAAAAGTAGTTGGACTTTAAAAATTATATCGCAGATCAATTTACTCCTTTTATAATGCAGGAGACAAAATCGGTAGTACGACTACTGTTTTTGAAAATGGCTACAAATTAGTAGGATCGACTATCTGATATTCTGATATCTGATAACCAATCAACAATACAACAATACAGATTCATGTTCACCTAGCTCTGCGGGTTTAATTTAGAATTTACTTTAACATTTATTTGAAAACTTCAAATGATCATGTACAATAAATAAGCAATCTTAAGTTGGAGTCGATCTGTCAAATACGACAAACAATACTTGTCATCTGATTCGATTTTATTTTCAACACATCACTCAAGGAAATCATACGTATTTGTATTAGTCTTTTCTACAATACACATTCGTGTTGAATTATTAGTCGAGTTATTTATAACAGGTTCGAAAGCATTTTATCCATTTTATCCTTTGATGAATACGTATGTATGTTGGAGACTAACAAATTTAAATAGATAGGTTCGTGATGTAATATGCATATAAATTACAAGTCATCAGATTATGCAAGCGCTGTTAATGAAGCCACGCATGCTGATCATTAATTGGCTTCGCATTTTGGTAAATTAATCTGTATCACTAATGCTAATACAGTTAATATTTTGTCAATGTAACCCTGCTGTTCACATGTACCCCTGAAATACGTAATATCCCAAAAGCATTTACTATAATTGTCGAGTTAGGTAACGATTGGGCATGTAGCCACGCCAATGATCGGCAAAGTGCCTGTGGCTACAAAAATATAGACGAATGTTGAAGTAATAACACATGCCAATAGCCAATCAAATAAATAATATAAAAATTAATACATAAAATTAAAATTTAGAGTTCAAAATAGGTGTTATTAAATGTTGTTATTGTTACGTATTAGCAAATAAGCATAGTTTTTTATACTGCATATAATAAAAGTTCTTTAAATTGTATAAATATAAACACAACCATTTTTTTAAAGACGTTTGCCTATATATATTAAACTGGTGGCTGAAATTTATAAAATTTGATACGTACGTACGTAGTAGTTGTTTATTACTACGTAATCAGTCATACACAGATCATGTGTCAAAATGATTGACTCACCAAATTCAAACTTATCTAATAATAGAAAAGTCATCCGTTTAATTACTATCATTTTGCAAATTAAAATGGAAAAAGAATGCGGGCCTAAAGTTAGCCTATTCTTTTTACGATATTTGCTATTTGTTTATAGGTAATGTATATTAAACTAGTTGACAACTTTTCAACTAGTTGATTTGAAAAATTTTGAAAACAACTAATCGATTAAATCATTAAATAGTTCAATTACGAGATATTCCGTCTATTCAGGCTAACTCGTGCTGATTTCTTGGCTAATTAACAAATTTAGTCATGTGATATAAAAATCGATTAGTTGCAACTATAGTTGGCAACTAGTTAATTTGCAAAATTTTCAACAACTCAGAACATTAATTTATATTATTTATTCAAAATAGAAGGTTCTTAAAGCCAGGTTGAAAAAATTTATGTTTTTGATGTATTTATAGTTCTTTTTTGGTACAGTTAGAGTTAATAGATTATTTAAATATCAAGAATACAATTTATACAGAATATAAATCAATATATGAAATATTGTTATAGGG